CTCTCTCTGTGTCTCTCTTTTTCTATCTAACTCTATTTCTTTCTCTTTCTCAATAAATATATGTATTTATATATGTATATACTTGTATATTTAGTTACTATAAGCTTTTTCTCCATCTACCTAATTCTCTTTAGCGCTCTGTTGCTTTCTCTCTCTCTCTCGCTCTCTCTCTCTCTCTCTCTCTCTCACTGTCTCTCTGTATTTTATATGTAGTCAACACTTTTTCTAGTAGTTTGTTGCCTCACTGCTTCTTTAGCATTTCGTTTCGTTGCGTTTCATTCCATTTTTTGTTATGTTTTTTTTTATTTTTATTTTTTTAATTTTTGTTTGATTCCGTTTACTTTTCACTCTCATTTCATACTCTCATTTTGCCTCTCAATTTGTAATTTTAGCTGTAGCTGCTACATATATATAGATACATACATATATAGATTCCAATATGTATAGCTTAAGTTCTTAGGCAACTCGTGCGCTATCCTTCTCTCTCTCACACACACTCGGTCGCTGGCTGTTTCCGTCTCTTTCTAACCGCTAGATTATGTATATGCTAATGCGCTTTTTATTTCAAATGCAGTTCGCGCATTTTGCAGTAATTCTTTTCATCTACGCTTGCCTGAGTGTGTGTGTGTGTGTGTGTGTGTTTGTATATATAAATATAGGTGTGCCTGCGAGTGAGTGTGTGTGTGTGTGTTATTAATCACAATGGTCCTTCACATACGTATTGATAGCCAGCAATTGATGCTCAGTGTAAATTGGCATAATTACACGCACTCGTCTCGTTTTTCAATTTTCATTTTCATTTTTATTCTGCTTTCCGTTTTTTATTGTTTTCGAATTTCTCTTTTTTATTTATGCGCATAAACAGTGTCTTTAAATTACATTCAGCCTGCATTCTGGTATAATATAACTGAAGAGCAATCTGCTTCAATTTATGGAGAAAATATTCCAAATGATCAAAAACAAAATAGAAATATAAAAAAAAATCAAAAATATATAAATAAATAGTCCTTCAGCGGTATTAAGTCCCTGTACACATGCTGAAAACTTCGTTTGATGTTCAAAATCCTGATCCACATTGCTTTCAATGGCGATGCTGAATAACAAATTTGAGTGCAATGCTCTCTTTCTAATGAACTGAAGTAGGTTTGTGGTATTTATCTGATGAGTACACTATGCTAAAAAAAAAAAAAACTGTTAATTGCTGTTCTTTTTTATCTAAATGAACCTTTATTTGCTTAGTCCACTCTTAAGTGCAGCTCAACTAAAACTGTTTTTTTTTTCATGAAATGTGTATTATTTGCATTTTTATACCAATAAATAAAATAAATAAATAACTTGACTGCTTAAACAATTTTTTTTGTTAATCTTTTGCACAATGCACAATTATTTACAAATATTTATATTTGTTTACCTATTTCTTTTAATTGCGGCTGTTTTGCAATTTGTTGATGGCCTTCAAAAGCCAATCGACGACAATTATTTTTGTGTTTGACCAAATTTGATTAAATCGTCTCATTTTTTGTGTGTTAAATGTCCTGTCGCAAAAGTATACATTTAATATTTGCCAAAATTATGAATCGATTTAAATTATTGATATGAAGAATGAAATTTGCTAATTTCGCTGTTGACAAGCGAAGCAAAAAAAATACACAAATACAGTCGTGTGTGTGTGTCTGTGTGTGTATGAGGTCATGTGCAAAAATGTTATCCATTTATGCTCTTAAAAACTGCAATCTATCTTTGAAGCTAGACACGACACACACACGCTAGCACTTATTCTCAGTACAGTTACAATGACGCTCACATTTTTGGCAGAGAGGGGTATCCAAAGGGATGCGGGTTAGCTGTTGTGCCCAGCGGCTTTCGCATGTCATTTTCATGTGCCGTCAGCACAAATTACATTTCATTTATCTTCATTTGCTCAGAGACACCAAAGCACACACACACGGACACACACGGACACACACAGACATTGAAGTTGGCCAAGCTGTGCTGCACTCCAAGTGGAAAAACAAAAATCTAATTCGTTAATTTTTCACAATGCGATCAAAACGAATTAAATGAAAATTTTGCAGTTATTTTCCATATTTGGGGAATGGGGCATACAATTTATTTGCCAGACAGGACATAAAAGAAACAACAAAAGTGTAGAAGAGAAAAAAAAAAAACAGAGAAGGACATGCAACACGCGTGCATTTTCCAAATGGACGCCAGGACATACACGTAGACACATACTCACACACACACAGACACACACACATACTGGCACACCTACCACACATTATTAATGGCAGTGACAAAAATGTAAATTAGTCGCACAAAAAAGCAGCAAATGAAGCACCAAAAATATAACACGAACATAATTTATATAAATGCAAGAGACTGAGTAGAGGAGAAGGGAAGTAATACTCAGTGAGAAGGAAAATGTTGGACAACGAGCGGGGTGAATGGGGGGGGAGGGGAGGGGGGTGGTGGAAATGGAGGGGCAGCTGTAAAAGCCGATAACACGCTTTCAATATTGAAACAAAAGCAATTTGTGGCCAAACACACACACACTCCTCGCCGTCACTCTCTCTCTCTCTCTCTCTCGGCCACACTGGGAAATTTTTACAAATTAAACACACGTACAAAAAAACACACACACACACACATGCCATAAAAAAAGAGCAGCAACTCGAGTGTAATAAAATGTGTAGCATACTTAGCAGCGCAGGTCATAAATTTCAATTAATACGTTAATCAACACTGTAAAACAGCTAGGCAGAGCAAATAAAAACATAAAAACTTAAAATGTGAAAATGTGAAAAAGTGGAAAAGTGAAAAAAGCGACCACCCTGCAATTTGGCTAATGAGCTGGGCACACACACACACTTAGGCACTTTTGGTTGCTGCACTTGCAGATACTTTTGTATCTGAAAATTTAATTATGCCACAAGCTTTGCAAATTACAAAATTTACGACCGAGCTGAACTGGAAATACAAATTCACACTTATCTGTGGCAACTTTTGAAGCAGATTAGAGAGAGAAAGAGACAGCGAAATGGTGGGAGAGAGAGAGAGGAAGAAAGAACACATTTTGAACTAGAGCTTAGTTGGCAGCATGTGAAAAAATAAACACCAAAAGCTGTTGAAAGTAGTTGCAAATTATTAATATGATGCGGACAGCTGCCTTTAACTTGGTCAGCCCCCCCGAATGCGTGTGTGTGTGTGGGTGTGTATGTGTGTGTGTATACTTTGATGTGCATATATTTGAAAGCCATTTGACTTATTAATGTACAAGTCAAGTACTTGGATAGCTCAGCACCTTTAAAATTCCAGCCATATGGCACGGAATCAAAGTTTTAGCTGAGGTTGGCAATTTTATTAAGTATTTAAGCTGAGTGGCTTATACAGGTGAATAAGGCTTTCAAGTTTTGGACACTGGCAGGTTACCAACTAAATTCCATTCGTGCTTATAAAAGTGAAAGGCTTCATTAACCGATATGATTTCAACAAACAAACGCATATAACCTAAGCAAACCCCAATAACCGCAGAGAATCTACAAAGATCAACAATTATTTCATAAATAATGCAAATGCAGAGCAACAAGAAATTATATGAAAATAGTAACAGCGACTATCTTAGACTATCTTAGCGCCGCAGATTATATAGTCTGGTATAAAATAATAATAATAATAATATAATATTCAGAAATTGACATATTCAAAGTTCAAACAGATAGTTTGGGGGACTATATCGATGCTTATAGCAATGCTGATCAAGAATATAAATATCTTATGGTCTCGGATACGTCTTCTGCAATGCCTTACAAATTATAATAACCTTTACAAAGAGCAAAGATTAAATAAATTGAAGAGCCAAGCATATTTCCAAAGACTTTCCGGAAAATCTCACTTTAACTAGACACACAGATACTTATTTTAGTTGGGCTATTGTAAATGACTCCTGAGTGTTTGCTCTGTGAGTATGTGTGTGTGTGTGTGTGTGTGTGAGTAATTCTGTGAATTTGAAGAGCATTGCTTTGGTCTTTAAGTTTGATTTATATTCTCTTTATTTTCTTGTTGGTCGTTGTGTGCACAGCTCCGAGTGTTTATTTATCAGATTCCAAAAAACATACTATATACAAATATATATTTTATACTTATATACTTACATGTTCGGCAGCATTTTTATGTCAACTTCTTCTGTACTGCAGTTGCGTGCCGACGTAACTGTAAACGATGGAGAAATTATTGATTTAATATTTGTACAATTTTTGTTCAATATATATTTCATCATTGTTCGCAACATTTAAATGTTTGATACTTATGCCTGATTTATTGTTTCGTTTTCTGTACAGGCGGTCGTCAGATTCAGGACAGCGATTACGAGATTATCGTCGTCGATGAGAATAATCCCTCAGTGCTGGCGGATAATGATTCCCACTCCAGTGGACCGCCATCCATAAAGGTGAGTATTATGGGAAGAGTCAACCATCTCTCTCTCTCTCCCTCTGTCTCTCCCTCTCTCCCTCTCTCTCTATATATATTTATCTCTTTAAGTACTTCAGATGTGTGAGAGTTTGGTATGCATGTGTTTGTGTTTGAGAGTTTGGTGTTTGAAGTGAAATTTGTGTGATTGGGCAAAACTCTTTTAAACTAAGTATTTCGGAGGCGGGTTTAAAGGGGACAAATCTTGGTTTCTGGCAACTTCTCTCTCTCTCTCTCTCTCTCTCTATCTCCCTCTCTCTCTCACACACACTCTCTATTTCCAATTCGTTAAAGTTTTTATTGCTAAGCACAAGTTGAGTTCAGTTTTTAAACACTTTGCATGACGGTTTGAATGTCACTTTAGTCGAAGTAGAAACTTGCCTTAACTTTTAAGTATGAATGTGGCTGTGTGAAATACCTAAATGCGTATGTGTGAACGAGAGAATGTGTGTTAGCTTATTAAAGAATTGTAACAACAATAAACGAAAAACAAACTGAACAACAATGAAAAAAAATCATTTGCATGTTTTGTAAAAATTAAACACTAAAACGAAACAAATCAAAATCAATCAAACTCAAAAACTGTCACAGGCTCATAATAACAATAACAACACTCAGACAACAACTGCAACAACAACAACAACAACAACAGCTACAACAACAACAACAACTGTAAAATCCACAACAACAACAACAACAACCAAAGATAAAATCAAAATTCAACAACAACCATTGTCACCACCCAAGCCAATGGTGCCACAAAAGTTACCAAAGGTAAAACGAACAAAAATATCTATAGACAAAAAAAAAAAAACAAAAAATAAAAATAAAAAAACACCACACACCAAAAATAATTCCACCCAAATGCAAAATTGCAATAATTTGACAACAACAGCAACAAGCAGTCAACTCACCCCACTCACACACCCACTCACATAAACACTCACGTACAGCCACAACAACAACAACAAGAACAACAGCAACTTTTTGTACCGCTATCAATCACCAACAATCACCACTAACAAACAACTAACAAATCCATTCGATAAATGTATTGCACCATCAATAATCGAACTCGCATTCGCACTGGCACTCGCACTCGCACTCGTAAAACACTCGTTCAACACACACGAATAGATTAGAGGAATGCAAGGTAAGCCGAGTTTTAGAGACTGCAATAGTAAAAGATAAATAGTAAAGTAAAAAAAAAAAAAACAAAATTAAGAAGAAAATTGCTCGTATGCAAGTAAAGCAGTTAAGAGAAATTGGCAAAACCAAAGACTTTCAGCAATAAGTGAAGCGAGAAGCTTTTAAGCACTTACCAACAAACAAACTGAAATGAAAAACGCAAAGAAAAATAACTGCTACAAACACAGTTGGAGTGTGAAAATCAAAGCAAAAAGTTACCAGCAAAGTAAATCGATAAGCTAAAAAAGCAACTAAAAAATGGGCATGGGGAAACAGACGGACGAGCAGCGCTTTAAGCATTTGCATGTTTTTTTTTTTACATTTACATTTGTTTTTTTCACTGTAGCTATAAGAAATATGTAATTAAGATTCCCATTATATCCGACTTAGCTATCTCTCTCGCCTTCACTCTGCTAGGTGGTTGCCTTGAATAATATTTGGCTGTATCACTTCAAATGCATAACGTTTATAGGAATTTTATTCATGAGTGTTTTTATGTGTGTGTCCATCCACATACACACTCACACTCACACTCATCAGCTTTAGCTTTTTCATTTATATGTTCATATAATTATCGCTGATGCGAGTTTCCGAGAATAAAAAATGCGACTTTTTCTTTATCCGTTCACTTATACCACAACTTGTCAGCTGCTTTTTGTTGTTACATTTAATGTTTGCCGTTGCAGTTTGACTCTGCTGCAATTTATTTTAATTTCTTTTTTTGTTGCATTGCATTACTGTGAGCTGGAAACAGTAATGCCCAACAGTAACTCCAAATTGAAGTTATGAATAGTGCATTAAATGAGTGTGTGTAGGTGTGTGTCCTGTCAGGTGTTAAATGAAATCAGATTTGTAGTTAAAACCATAACTAATCCTTGAATATAATTAGCAATTCCTTCTCTCCGGTTTATGTGTACTTAAATCATATTTTGCATATTATCATATTATGCGCGTTTCTATGATTAGCGAACTTTAATTCTAAGCTTTTTCCTGATTTGAAATCAATCTTTCAATTATTAATGGATTTTTACAAATAGGTAAAAAAAGCAAATTTCATTATAGATTTGATAACTTTACTTTTATATGTATATAATATGAATGATTTCAGCTTAACTCTCTCGCGAACATTCTGGGAAATGTGTGTTTTTCTATTTGTGCTCTTAAAAATGCCCTATTACAATTTAATTAATGGGTATATGCAAGTCGACAGATACTCTTTTTGTCGTTTTAGTTTAGAACCAACAAATTGAATTGCCATTAAATGGAATCAATAAATAATTTCGATATCTATGCGCACACAATACACGCACACACACACACACGCACACACACACACACACACACACACACACACACACACACACACACACACACACACACACACACACACACAGTCTGATTCCGCTGCGTGCCACATGATTTGTCGTGTGTCGCTTGGATTTATTTGTGTGGGTCATCTTTGATTTATGTATGTTAATGTCTATCTATATGTCATGCAATTAGTATTACGAACTAGAATAACAATACGTTCGCATATACACTCTCACACACACACACACGCACACACACAAGGACACAGGGACACACGTACAACTCTTGGCTTTTATCTTGAGTGCAGACAACATTTCTAGTTCCGGTTCTAGGCTCTTAATGAACTGCTTGCATTATTAATACAGCAAATCCATTGCCAACCCCCCCCCCCCCCCTTGGTCAATTCCCCAGTCTATTAATACACACACACACACACACATTAATGGAAATACACACATGTGCATGTTCTAGCTGCTGCTACTTTCCGACTTTCAATGTTACACCCATTTTCATTATTTCCCCTGAGCATACAAAAGATTAGCATAGCTCCAAGAAAATAAATTTAAATTCAATAAGTCAGTCAAAAAAAAATATATATTTATATATATATATATGTCAGTGTGTATACATCTGCTTCTTGGTTCATCTTCATATTTTGCCAGCAAACTGAAATTTGCGTTTTGCGCGTCGTTCAAAGGGAAGGCGATTGATTTCGCATGCTGCACAGGACGGACGTACTGGGCATGCACCACATTGTGTAGGCGCAACAGCTGTCACACACACACTCGCACACACACACACACACACACATATACATTCAGACAGACAGCTGTGCTAACACCTACTTGTGTGCTTCATATCTTATTGTATTTGTGTTTGACAGTTGACATTTGTCAAATTTTGTCACATGGCAATCCGTTTGAAAACGTTTCAACCCCCTCACCCCTTCACTCAACCCCCCCAAATGGCACCTCCCTCCTGTCTGTTTGTCCGTAATGTCCATTTGGCCTAATGCCTTTCGGATGAGCTGAGTTACGTAATGCTCAAATTTGTTTTTTCAAATGGGTTGGGTAGAGTTGGTTGGGGTGATTTGCCTTTTATGCAAATCACTGCCAGACGCAACAAGAGGGGCAAAGGTAGAAGTGAGCGGATTGTTGATGGCGAAGGGCCGAAGGGGCGAGGGGGGTGGTTGGTAGATCTGCAGATAACATTTTGTGCGTGGCGTTGACAAATGCATGTGTTGACAGGGACACGGAGAGGGGACACTAGCGGACGTGAGGACTTTGTGCCTGGTTGGTCAACACACAATTTGGGCGATGGATGAGCTCTTCTGCTTTGCGCTCAGCACTTTTGATTTATTGTTGAAATGTGCATAATTAATGCGCAAATGATATCCCAACGAATACACACACACACACACACAGACACACACACACAGACACAAACACACAGACACAAGAGCAAATGTGCACAAATCGTGTCACTAGTCAAAAGTGCTGTTTAAATAACGATGCGAGTTTTAAAACAATAGAGGCTTATGTCAAAACGTTTAGCAACCATAACAAATTGATTATCCAAAACCAACAGCGATTACCTAAAGGCAACTATCGACCGTTTGTCGGTGGTCATCTCTATCGGGCGCACTACCAATCACTGCCAGGCATCCCCCAGCAAACCCACTTTATGCACCTGGTTCATTCACTCCACTCCACACGCCACTCAACTTGTTGTAATGTGTATCGCACTTGAAACACCTTTCGATCAAAACACACTCACCTACACACACACACACACGCACACACACTCGCACATAATGCTTTTGGTTCGCTTAACAGATTTAAACTTTTGCCTAATACTTAAATCAATGTCTATTCCTTGTCAAATGCTTGCGCGCAGAGCGTCGACTCGGATGTGGTGTCCTTGAACATGAACTCGACGGAGAATGAAGTGCCCGAAGTTGAGTCCTCCAGCGATATACTCGCCGATGATCACAAGCCGAGCAACTCGAACGATGAGAGCTGGACGGATGTCAATTTGAATGAAGATGCCGCTGTGCTGGCAGCTGCGAGCGCTGGCATCGTTGTGGGTCTCGTCGATGCCAGCGATAGCAGCAAGCATGAATCGCAGCACGCACAACAGCAACACCAACAACAACAGCAACAGCAGCAGCAACAACAGCAACAGCAACAACATCAGCAACAGGGCGGCATGATCGTTGGCACTGAGCGTGGCGATAAGCCCGACTCGGAGATATCAGTAGTGCGTGTGCCCGATAGCTATGGTAGTGCTGCCAGTGGCAATAGCGCTACAGTTGCCAACAGCGCACAGCAGCAGCAGCAACAGCAGCAGCAACAGCAACTGCAGCAGCAGCAGCAGCAGAGATCGCGACCCGATGAGCTGCCAATGAAACCGCCGGCACTCGTTGCCCAACTGCCGCTGACGACGCCATCGCGGGAGGCGAGTCTCACACAGAAGCTGGAGATTGCCTTGGGTCCGGTGTGTCCGTTGCTGCGTGAAATAATGGTTGATTTTGCGCCATTCCTCTCCAAGACGCTGGTCGGCTCGCACGGCCAGGAGCTGCTGATGGAGGGCAAGGGTCTGACCACATTCAAGAATTCGCACTCTGTTGTCGAGCTGGTGATGCTGTTGTGCTCCCAGGAGTGGCAGAACAGTCTACAAAAGCATGCCGGCCTCGCGTTCATCGAGCTAATCAACGAGGGTCGTCTGCTCTCTCACGCCATGAAGGATCACATTGTGCGCGTCGCCAACGAGGCCGAGTTCATTCTAAATCGCATGCGCGCCGATGATGTCCTCAAGCATGCTGACTTTGAGTCCCAGTGCGCCCAGACTCTGCTCGAGCGACGCGAGGAGGAGCGGATGTGTGATCATCTGATAACGGCGGCCCGTCGCCGGGATAATGTCATCGCCAGCCGGCTGCTGGAGAAGGTGCGCAACATCATGTGCAATCGCCATGGAGCGTGGGGTGATGCCAATGGAATGTCGGCTGCTATAACGGTAAGCGGTGGCAAGGGCACGTATTGGAAGCTCGACGCATGGGAGGATGATGCGAGGCGTCGCAAGCGTATGGTACAGAATCCGAGAGGCTCCTCACATCCACAAGCAACGCTCAAGGCGGCACTTGAGAATGGTGGACCCGAGGATGCAATTTTGCAGACACGCGATGAGTTCCACACCCAGATTGCTGTCTCACGGTCGCATCCGTCGGCACAGCACAACGGCGAGCTGCTCGACGATGCCGAGCTCCTAATTGAGGATCGAGAGCTCGACTTGGATCTGACCGGGCCGGTGAATATTAGCACCAAGGCGCGCTTAATAGCGCCGGGCCTCGTTGCGCCCGGCACCGTATCCATTACTAGCACCGAGATGTTCTTTGAGGTGGACGAGGATCATCCAGAGTTTCACAAGATCGACGCAGAGGTGCTCAAATACTGCGATCATTTGCATGGCAAATGGTATTTCTCCGAGGTGCGTGCGATCTTCTCGCGCCGCTACCTCCTGCAGAATGTCGCCCTGGAGATCTTCTTGGCCAGTCGCACCTCCATCCTGTTCGCATTTCCCGATCAGCACACCGTCAAGAAGGTGATCAAGGCACTGCCACGCGTCGGCGTCGGCATCAAGTATGGCATACCACAGACACGGCGTGCCTCAATGATGTCGCCGCGACAACTGATGCGCAACTCGAACATGACACAGAAATGGCAGCGACGCGAGATCTCCAACTTTGAGTATCTGATGTTTCTCAATACGATCGCGGGACGGACGTACAATGATCTAAATCAGTATCCCATCTTTCCCTGGGTGCTGACCAATTATGATTCCAAAGATTTGGACCTCAGCCTGCCGTCGAATTATCGTGATCTATCGAAACCGATCGGTGCCCTAAACCCATCACGACGCGCCTACTTTGAGGAGCGCTACGAGAGCTGGGTCAGCGATACAATACCACCATTCCACTATGGTACACACTATTCGACGGCCGCTTTCACCCTCAACTGGCTGGTGCGTGTCGAGCCGTTTACAACCATGTTCCTGGCACTGCAGGGCGGTAAATTTGATTATCCGGATCGTTTGTTCTCATCCGTTTCGCTCAGCTGGAAGAATTGTCAGCGTGACACGTCCGATGTGAAGGAACTGATACCCGAATGGTATTTCCTGCCCGAAATGTTCTACAATGCATCCGGCTATCGGCTGGGCCATCGTGAGGATGGCGCCCTTGTCGATGATATTGAATTGCCACCATGGGCCAAAAGTCCCGAGGAGTTCGTTCGCATCAATCGCATGGCCCTCGAATCGGAGTTTGTCTCCTGCCAGCTGCATCAGTGGATCGATCTGATATTCGGTTACAAGCAGCGCGGCCCCGAAGCGATACGGGCCACCAACGTCTTCTACTATCTCACCTACGAGGGCAGCGTCGATCTTGACGGTGTTCTCGATCCGGTGATGCGCGATGCGGTTGAGAATCAAATACGCAACTTTGGCCAAACGCCCAGTCAACTACTAATGGAACCGCATCCGCCGCGCAGTTCAGCAATGCATCTGTCCCCGATGATGTTCAGTGCAATGCCCGAGGATCTATGCCAGATGCTCAAGTTCTATCAGAACTCACCGGTCATTCACATCTCGGCGAATACGTATCCGCAGCTATCGCTGCCATCTGTGGTCACCGTCACCGCTGGCCATCAGTTTGCCGTGAATCGCTGGAACTGCAATTACACCGCATCCGTCCAGAGTCCCAGCTATGCTGAATCACCGCAATCGCCGGGCTCCAATCAGCCGCTTACCATTGATCCAGTCCTGGGTGAGTTATAGTTTCTCAATCAAACATTTTCAACTTGTTTGCACTCAATCTGAAACTAGTTGTCATCTCTCTTTCTCTTATTTGATATCCAATTTCACTTGCATTCCAATTTATTCAGCTGTGCATGGCACCAATAACAATAGCAACGCAGCCAGCCGTCGTCATTTGGGTGACAATTTCAGTCAAATGCTGAAAATACGCTCCAATTGTTTTGTGACCACCGTCGATAGTCGTTTTCTCATCGCCTGCGGCTTCTGGGATAACAGTTTTCGTGTGTTTGCCACCGAGACGGGTAAGTGGCCACCTTTTGTTCACAATTGTACACAACCCGCCACAACTGTTCTTTCCGTTTGGCTTTTGGCATTTGTCATTTGACATTTGGTATTTGTTCTTTTCTGTTTTTGATTCCTTAGCGAAAATCGTGCAAATCGTCTTTGGGCATTTTGGCGTCGTCACCTGCATGGCCCGATCCGAGTGTAATATTACGTCAGACTGTTATATTGCATCCGGTTCGGCGGATTGTACGGTATTGTTATGGCACTGGAATGCCCGTACCCAGAGCATTGTCGGTGAGGGGGATGTGCCAACGCCGCGCGCAACTCTAACGGGACACGAGCAGGCAGTCACCTCGGTGGTCATCAGCGCCGAACTGGGACTCGTTGTGTCCGGTTCAACGAGTAAGTTGCTCGTAAACACTTTGGTGCTGCTCAGTTTTAACTTTTATCTAACACTTGCTCTCTCTCCCTCTCTCCCTCTTTTTCCCCCTCTCTTTCTCTCTCTCTTCCCTTCTTAGATGGCCCCGTTTTGATACACACCACGTTTGGTGATTTGCTGCGCTCGCTGGATCCGCCCGTTGATTTCCACTCGCCGGAATTGATAACGATGTCGCGTGAGGGTTTCATCGTTATCAACTATGACAAGGGCAATGTGGCCGCCTACACCATCAATGGCAAAAAGTTGCGCCATGAAACGCACAATGACAATCTGCAGGTAAGCACTATTTTACGATCTCTCTCTCTCTCTCTCTCTCTCTCTCTCTCTATTCGCTACTCGTTACTCGTTACATTTTTATCCACTCGTTTTGATTTCTGACGATGTCCCTCTTTCTCTTTCTCTCTCCCTCTGTCTCTCAGTGCATGCTGTTGTCGCGCGATGGCGAATATCTGATGACTGCCGGCGATCGGGGCATTGTCGAAGTGTGGCGCACTTTCAATCTGGCACCGCTCTATGCCTTCCCCGCCTGCAATGCGGGCATACGCTCGCTGGCGCTCACTCACGATCAGAAGTAAGTATAGTGTGTAATGCCTTAAGCACACTTTACAGATACAGAAAGAAAAAGTTATCGATAAACATTAAACGACGATGTCAAGAAAGAAAAAAATGTACTTTTAAACGCCGCATAGATGAGAAGATGAATTCATTACATTTTTGCCTCCAAGCAGATCTTTTGTCTTTTAGATTCCACAAAGCAAATAAACCAAATCAGTACTACTTGTACTCATTTACCATTTATTAACATCTAACATGCCATTCTCCACTCTCAACAGATATCTGCTCGCTGGCCTGTCAACTGGATCGATAATTGTGTTCCACATTGATTTCAATCGGTGGCATCATGAGTATCAGCAGCGCTACTAAGCTCCATGCCACGTTCTACATTCCACGCACACACACAAACGCGCGCGCGAGTGAGACAGAGACAGAGAGAGAGAGAGAGCTGACAGGCAAGTAGCAAGAGCGGCCATCAGCAGCAACAACAATGTACTTAAAGAAAGAGAGCGCAGATGTTTGTTTGTTTAGTTGTTTGTATTTTCATTTTATTTGATCATTATCGTTAGACATCTTACAACAATTCTAGGCTAGTAAGCAAAACAAAACAACTATATTCTTATTGTTTTCTCTTCTCTGTTTTTTTTTTTTTTTTTGTCTAGTATTACTTATAAAATAGCATATTACCTAGTATGTTGGTGTGAGCCAGTCAAAAAACAGCATTTTTTTTACTAGTTATACGGCAAGTAGAATGTTAAGTTAACGAGAACAGAAAAACAAAGCAGAACACAACAAGCAATCGGCTTAAGTTGAGTAGTTTTAATAAGTATGACAAAAATAAAACAATAAACAAAAGAAAAAAGAAAAAAAAAGAGTTAGTGTTTATAAAACGCAATAAGCAGTTAATAAAACTTAAACAAGAAACATCAAATAACATAAAATCAAAGAAACTTAAATAATAATGTAGGAAAAGTTCTCACAAAATAGATAAAAACAAAAAAAAAACCAAAACACAAAAAAAAAATGGAAACGCTTGAAATGAAACGAAACGAAATGTAACGAAATGCAGTGAAACGAAACGAAACGAAACGAAATGAAATGAAACAAAATGAAACCAAGTGGCCAAATGTCTGAACACGACAAAGGAGAAGAGAAGCGTCAAGAGTACGAGTCGAAGAAAAGAAGCCAATTTTTAAAATACTTAATTATTTAAATGCAATGCCTAAAAATGGAAAAAAAAAATGCTTGAGCTTGTGGCGTCACAAGTGGCATCGTAACAGAGTCACAGAATAAAACAAAAGACAAATGATAATGACAAAAACAACTTCCAGCAGAAGAAGCAATCACAAAGGATTAGCGATTAGCGCACCTGCTAAAAGAATACGCGATATTTTAATACAAAAAAACAAAAAAAAAACAAAAAGCAAAACAAAACAGTAACAAAACAAAACATAACAATAATAAAGAGTAACTAGTTAAAAATGCAACTAACTCCGCAAAAAGGACACTCAAGCTAAACAACTAACAATTTATCAACATTGCTAAAAGCTACTTATAAATACTTGATAAAAAATAAAAATAAATAAAAATAAAACTAAAATAGAGATAACAAATGAAAGATAAATATGCAAAACTTAGCGAAATGGCGAGGGATATCGTTTTTACATATAATAAACAATCAAATAACACGCATACGCGATGTAGCACCGCACGCAAATTAAACTGCACTGGGCAAATTTTAATTGTATATTTTTTGTTTTGTTTGCCGTTTTGCAAAACTTTCAATTGCGTCCGAACGAGTGTAAAACAGCAAGCTAAAAATTTTGTTTGCTTTAAAAATAACAAAAATAAAAAAAAAACAACCCCAAACCTTAACCTTCCTTAAAACCTAAACACATTCGTCCACGTTTTATATATATATTTAGCAAAAAGCAAAAATATGAAATTCTTGATTAATTTACTAAACATATATGTCTATATATATATATGTGTATTGCTTATGGTTGTCTGTAAGACACAGCGCAGATCACAACTGAAACGGAAGTGGCAACTGCGACTGGAAAAGTAAAGTTTACAGTTTATGCAGTTCAAAGGCCGTCTTCCACTTTCGGCGCATAATATCAAATGGTTATTGATTCTTTATTCTTGTTATTATTGATTATTGATTTATTGATTTGGAAAGGCAAAGATACAAATATGAATATGTAACTGTTTCCCAAGAAATCCATCCAAGTCGCCATTTGCACTTAACATATTAGATTTGTACATACATCTAGTAGTTACACATACATACATATATAAATATATATATTTATATATATACAAACATATACATACATATACTTATGATACACACACAAACATACAAAGTATATATATATATATATATATATATATATATATATATATATATAATGATGAATACATGAGTTCTGTGTAGTCAGCTAAATGAACATTCGGTTGTAATAATGGTCCCCAAGTTCGAAAAGGCCACAATCAAAGCATAATTAAAACAAAACAAAAACTAAAAACCCAAAATTATCTTGACAAATAAAAACCAAAAAATAAACTTATGGAAAGCAAAAATAAAAACACAAAGTTCTAGATGTTTGTTGTGTTGTTTAGTAAAGAAAAGTAATTTTAAATTTAATTTTGTTTTTTGTTTTTGTTTTTGAAATTTATCAACTGACTAATGCATCCATCCAAAATTTATGTACTTAAAGTTGAACTTTAATGCAGCTCAAAATGCTTGCGAAAATATACAAAATAAAAATACAATCTTATAAAAATAATAATTATAATAATATGACTTAATTATGAAAATAAAAAAATATATATTTTATGAATAATCATGCTTCAATTCATAAATACCTTTTTCGTTTGTTTTTTTTTCTCTTCTGTATGTTCGCTTGTAGGTGTGTGTACGATATTGAAATGTGGGTGTCCAATTTATGTTTATTACTTGCACATTTTGTTCACCTTAATTACCACTTAGTAAGCATATGGCAAAAATTTATACAAATATTAATGCAAATTTTTTGCTGCAATTTTTATGTTGTGAATTTTTTATTATTATTTTTGTTTATTTTTTTTGCATATATTGGCACATAATTATATATGTACATAATTTGAGAGATATCTTATAATGCAAACAAACCTTTAAAGTAAATAATTAAATACAAAATGCAATTAAATGAACATTAAAATTCAAATATTTCAGTTTCCATTCGAGCAAGAAATAATTAATGAAATAATGCATAAAATAAATACATACTATTAGTAACTTAAATGTTGTACATAAATTGAGAGCTAGCTTAAAGGTATATATGTACTTAATTTTAAAGACAAAACAAAAAAATTGACAAAAAACATAAATCAATAAAAATGATGTTGATTACACAAGAAGCCTAAAACAAGTAACTAAGCAGCCAAAATACGCAGAAAAAAAAACATAAAGATAAATGAATTCATTTACGCATAAAAATGCATAAATTAACAAAAAATAATTATTAAAAAGAATTCAATAAATAAAAAAAGATGATAATATAAAGAAAGCTAAGCAGTAACTACGTATATATATATTTAAAAATATATATAAATACAATTTTTTTTTGGTCTAGCTATTAAAATGATAATGAGAAGCAGCACGGCTAAAGATAAATACATAACAAACCGAGAAAACAGAAAAGAAAGCAAACAACAAAAAAAGGCGGGCGCCAAAACAATTTTAAATTTATGCAGTTTTTATAGTATTAAATAAAATAAAATGCAGCATGAAAAGTAGTAAATTAATATAAAAACAAAAATTACAAGAATAAATAATTATAATAATATTAAAAATAACAATAATAAATAAAATACTTATATAATGTTTTTATTAAACAAACAAATGGCTGACAATTTTAAATTTATACAAGAATACAAAAACAAAAAATTAAAGCAACTAAAAAAAATGTACTTAAGAAATTATTCATGCACGTGCAATTTATTTAATATATTTATTTACACACAAACATAAGAGACAATTTTCAAACTACCCAAAACATATTCAAGTAAAGTATTTCAAGTGCTGAAAAATAAATATCTACAGATATTAACACAGACAGAGACACACACCAACACACACATAACACACATACAAATTGGAATAATTTCATGTCGCTTTTTACAGCAACCACAAAAATGTGCATTGGAGAAAACAATTCAAAGAAAATTTAATTAAAAGAAAATTATTAATATTGTACTTGAATATATATATTTTGTCAATGATGTTAATTAGCAACTAACAAAAAAAAATACACACACACAGCCAAACATTTCACATATATACAACAAATATAAAAGGCTAAAAAGAAAGCTAAAAATAAATGTTCATTATTATGGCTAACCCTTTTTTTTGCAATAAAAAATCTAACAAATTGACAAAAATATAAATCAATAATTTATGCATATGGATATACGCTATGATTCTAAACTTAACAAAAACAAAAAAAAAAAACAAAAAACAAAAAAAGAACAATGGAAATAAAGGTCAAAAAGTTGCATTAATAAAAAACGCAAAAAGAAGAGGAAAAAGAAGAAACCTTGAAAATGATTAAATTTAAATAAATTAAATTTTAAATTAAGACTAACAAAAAATACAGACATTTAAACAAGCAAGTGAGCAAGCATAAAAAACTAACAACAAACATCAACAACAACAAATTATTATGTTCAATAAAGAAACAAAGAAATCTTACACGAAAAAAAAAACAAACAAACAACAAAGTTGAGAGTTCTTATTTTCAAAAAGAGTATTTTACAGCACAGAGGTGAGTACAGCTTTCCACTACAGCAGTTCGCAGCAACGAGTATTTCCTATTTCCTATTTCCTGTCTTTGATCTGTTGACTTGAAATGATTGCATTCTAACAACAGCAATAACAACAATGACATCGCAACGGGCAATGGCAACTCAATGGGCCAAGCAATCTAACTACCAAACCGAAAAACATTTAACAACGTCATAGCTTTTCAGTTTGTGCTTCTACTTTCCAGCTTGGGTTCATAAAGTATACGACCCATGATTAACAAGTTTCTAGGTTATGGAGAAAACGGCAAAGAGATGCTAAAGCTAACACTGTCAACATTGGCCAGCTGTCTAAATACGAAAAATGCATAAAACGCAGCTATATCAGCAGCAGCGCTAGCAACAACAACAACAACAACAGCAATAAGGATAATGTCGCCATTGCCTGTCGTCGTCAACGCCCCAACTCAACTCAACTCACACCATTAACCTCACCCACACCCCTCACGGCTGTCATCACAAGTCATATCAGTGAGCATATTATTCGACGTCGCACGCTGTGTGTGTTTTCTGGAGCGTGTAATATCCGCTTCCTGCATTTCCGGTTGCCGCTTTTTTGCGCTGCTTATACGTAATATTTCAACAAGACGGCAAAGAGGACGTGGACGACGAAACTGCCACCAAATTGCAAACGGAAATGCTGCAAAATTAACGAGTAGCACAACTTGAGCAACCAGCCAGCGGTTCTAGCAGCAGCAGCAGCAAGGTGCAAGGTGCAAGGAGCAGGCGCTGCTGGCACAGTCGCAAAGTAAATGCAAACGTTTTTCCAAGCAGCAAATGCAAATTCGCGCTGCGAGAATTTTCTTCTATTTTTCTCAGGCAGCTGTGGCAGCAGCGACAACAGCTGCAAATTAGTTGCATCACTTAACCGGCAATGACATAATGCTGCCAAGTGGCGAATGATGATGCCGAATGGGCCAGCATCCAGTATTTAGCATCCAGCATCCTGCATTCAGCACCGAACAGACAGCAGTCAGAAGACAGAAACAAACGCAGATAGAAATAATAATATTTTTCCACAAGTTTGACAAGTAGTGAATCGAATTCCTTTTTGTGGCATAGCATATATATATACATATATTAAATGCGATTATCTTGGCAAGAATGACATCAATAGCAACTGAACCGATCTGAATGATTTTGGGCATATGAAATTATGCTTCATTGCAATAAGTA